CTCAGTGTTTGCAAGAACTGGCACAGAATCACTCTCCTATCCACCCCAAGTAAAATATTAAGCCGCATCATCCTGGAGAGGCTTAAAGATGCACTGGATTCAAAACTACGACTGGAACAGGCAGGCTTCAGGAAGTACAAATCATGTGCAGACCGAACTGCAACGCTACACTATACATCATCATAGAACAGAGCATAGAATGGCAATCAGCTCTCTACCTCAACTTCATCGACTTTGAGAAGGCCTTTGACAGCGTCGACAGAGAAGTAATATGGAAACTGCTTCAATACTACGGAGTACCGCAAACCTTTATCCGCCTCATTCAACAACCATATGAAGATGCCACATGCCAAGTAATTCACAATGGGAAGCTCAGTGATGATTTTGAAGTGAAGACAGGAGTGAAACAAGGCTGCCGCGTACTATCCCCCATGATATTCCTGATTGTGGTGGACTGGATCATGCAGCAAACAGTAGGCAGCGAGAAGAGGGGGATACACTGGACGACGGAAAAGAACCTAGAAGACTTGGATTTCGCCGATGACTTATGCCTAATGTCACACAAACTTGAAGATCTACAGGCAAAAACTAACAAGTTGATAGAAGAGGCAGGGTAGCGAAGACGGGACTTCAGGCGAATATACAGAAGACAGAGGTGATGAAGATACCGCACCAACAACTCCAACAACAACAACAAACTCCAATCACCGTCAACGGGAGAAACTTAAAGGAAGTAACCTCCTTCACTTATCTAGGAAGCACTGTTTCAACTACAGGCGGGACGGACGAGGACGTCAAAGTCAGAATCGGAAAAGCAAGACAGGCGTTCATTAGCCTGAAACCAGTGTGGAGATCTTCTGCACTCAGCATGCGGAACAAGATACGGATTTTCAACACCAATCCAGTCAATTCAGTGCTTCTGTGTGATGGTTGAGAGACTTGGCGCGTCACGAAAGGGATTTCCAATAAACTACACACATTCATCAACAACTGCTTACGCTCGCTACTGAAGATCAGATGGCCAGAAAAAATAAGCAGCAAGGAACTCTGGGAACGAACCAACCAAGAACCTATCACCCAACAAATATGCAGGAGGAAGTGGAGATGGATTGGCCATGCACTGAGAAGGCCGACGGAGGACATCACGCGTCAGGCCAGTTGCTCGAGTGGAATCCCCATGGGAAGCGACGAGTTGGACGTTCGTGGTGAGGGTGACATGGAGGAGGTCGTGCGAGGAGGAAATGAGAGCTTCTGGGCTGTCGTGGGACCAGGTTCAAAAGATCTCAGAGAACAGAGGTCGCTGGAGGCGTGTTACTGAAGCCCTATATTCCACTAGGAACCCAAGGGACTAATAATAATAATAATAATAATAATCATATATGAGGACATATGTACAAACACCTTCAGATTCCACCGTTAATGGTCTCTCATTTCCTCCGTAAAGGGAAAAGGTGGTGATGTAACAGAAGATGTATTTACACCAACGCCAACCAATATATACAAATTGCAAGGTTTGCATACATCACAATGGCCTTGGCTATTTCCAAGGCCTAATAGATTTAAATCCGGTTGATTTTTCCTCTCTTTAACCATCCCGATACTTACACGTTGATTTACATGTATTTCTCCGGAAATCTTGAAGCAAAGCAATCAGTTGAAAAAGGCTTTAGATATATGCGAGTTCTTATGAAGATTTTGTTGCGTCGGATAAACCTACCTGAATTTAGGGAGAATATTTGTTCTTGTTAACATACTACTGTTTATCAATCAGTAGTAAAAATCTGTTTGCATAAACTGACTGAAATTTTGTTTCTCCGTAACTACCCACAAACTACAAAGATACTAGCTTATTTCAAATGGTATGAAATCACAACTAGCTGTGCTAGTAAAAACATGATCATGTTTTCCTTTTGAAAACTACCATTTGTCATGATTATGCAATCACAACTTGCGATAACGATGCGAAATAGTATGAAAACTATTTCAAACTGTAAGTAACACTAAGAATTACTTAAATTATAACGCAACTGCAAAATATCAGGCTCTGCAGCTTGATAAATGCTGAAAAAAGAGAAAATTCAACTCCCTTTCTACACTTTCAACGTTCATAGCTCCTCAGACTTCGATTGCCTAGTGTTCGTCTAATATTTGAAGACACTAATTCACGTGACCTTCTTGATCCCAACTAGGAAGCAGGCGGGGATGCTATACATGATTGCTCGACAGTCATACACTTCCTCGGGAGATGGTATGTAACACACATCTAAACCATGGAAATCGGTGCTTATATTTATCAAATGAGAGCGGCTTCCATGATCAAACATATGTCTTAGAACTTAACGATAAATAACACCTATTCTCACTCAATTCGAGAATACTACATGAAATCTCAGTAGTGAACCTCATATTACACATGCAACTAAGGTGATGTAGATTTACACATTCATCCCTGAAGGGTCCCACTAGTTGTCGTAAATTCACATGACAAATCTCCACAAACCCTAACACAGCTAAGGGAGTGAGAGTAAAGAGCTTTGATCGGCGTTATATACTTACTCGATACTCCTTCGACAGTCAGACACTACCTCAACACCTCACGGTTGACAGAGTCAAATCCCGTCTTCAGGTCAAGAAAATACGGCAAGTTTCGATCGTCGGTAGGCATACTTGTGTTCCACAACCTGTCAGGGGATGGTGTAATCGACGCACCCTCGTACAGCCCTGTCTGAAACGTGCCTGGTTTTCTCGAGTTTCTTGTCATCAAGCTCCAGTTGGGCATCGGATAATTATGGACCCAAGGAACTTAGAAACAGAGATTAGTCGAACTAATTCCCTCATGATTGCCACAAGGAGATTTCCCCCATTTCTAATACACTGAGATGATCAGAGAAGTACACCAGTCTGACGACACCACCACTGGTTCCCATACATGTGTCAACTTCTCATGTTGTTATAATCTCTCCATCTCTCTAAGCCAATTTTCATTTTACTGAAGTCCGGTTAACTGAATCGATTGGAATAACATTGTTTCTCAACATTCTTTAAATGACAGTCTTAGAAACAAGCCCAAGCTACACTAGGTAATTACTTCAGTCATACACGTCTTAGAACTTAAGAATAAATAACACCTATTCTCACCGAATTCGAGGGAATACTACACGAAGTCTTAGTAGTCAGCTTTACATTACATATGTACCTAAGGTGATGTAGATTCACACATTCAAAAGTGATTTCCATCAAACAGGTTAAAAATCCGCCCGCGACACTTCTACTATCATTCATCTGGGAGCCTTTTGGAACCTTCAGCTACTAAATTTTTCTACCGAATACAAACATCAAACTCATTGCTTTCAATTTGTTTTAATTATTTAAAAATGACTTTTAAGTGTGCCATGTACTTTTGGAGAGTTTTAAAATGTCTTCAGCTAAAGTTTTCTCAAGTAGATAACAAAACGAAGGTGAAATACCAAGTTCGATGGGACTTTTCATTTTGCAATTCACTCATCATATTTCCACTCCTTAAAAGCAGCTTAGCTCGAATTGTCAGATTCTTATATTGGCAAACCGAACCATCACCATCAAACTTACGTTTGATTTTCTGTACATCCTCCATTGTAGAACGGAAGGAAATCCAACAACAGCTGACTGTTCAATACACTTGGATACAGTAATTATTTCGTTTAAATATATTGTTCTGGTAGTGAACTAGCTGAGAATAAAGCGATTATTAATAATATTATTATATGACTACTCAGATTAACAAGCTCTTTGATTGCTGTTTTCGGTTCTAGACGAAGAGTGGGTGTATTCTTAGGCGCCTATCCATCTTGGTAAAGTAATTTGCCCATTGATAATGCTGATTCATAAACACTGATCGTTAGCTGCATAATTTGAGTAACCTGTCTGCTCTCACAATTAAATGTTGCCATCTACATACTGAAGCTCAGGAAGCCTTTCAACAGTTACTAGATCCACGTGATTAACCATCTTCTTTTGAAGTATACTAGGAGTATCACGAATAACGAAGTTGAACATGATTGCGAATTTGGATTGCAGTGAAGCGAATTAAGGCTAACTCCTTGACTGAATAAATACACTATACACGTTTGTATGGCAATACAATCTAAATAGGAATGTCTTTTACTTTAGAAGTGTAAAAGTGAGTTTTTCTGTGAGTACACTAGGTAGTTGCGCAGAAGTAAAAGCCTTTTGTTTAAAAACATTCAGCAGTTTTGAAGTTCCTGTACCACAGTGTTTCCAAGAAGAAGTATCAACAAGCTTATATGGCAATAAAAACATGATAATGTTGCACAATTGATAGAATAAACTACTCAAACAAAGAATAATTTCATAGGACAATCAGTCTATAAATTATTTACGAATTGTGTAGTTCACGTAGATATTCCTCACAAACCCGAGTAGTTTCTCAACTCCTCGACTCTATTGTCAACAAGGTTAAGATGAGCAAGTTCAACAGATCAGTGTAAGTGGTTTCGAATTGCTCATATTGCTCAGTATTATATTTCTTTATTTCATGACACTTTTATTTCAGAGATCACATTATTGTGGTGTGAGATCGTGGGTTGGTTTTCTATAGTAACCTTATTGACTGGTACCACAGTTGGGCAATTCAGAAACTACTCAGCTTTGTGAGGGATGTCAACGTGAAACATGCAATTCCTAAATTGGTTATCCTATTCAAGGAATACTGGTCAGTCCAAGTCCCATAACCAGCTCAAGTTGCTCTGAAATATTCAACCACACCACTGATGTTTACATAACTCTAATCAGGCTAGCAAAATCTAAAAACCAGCCTGACTGCTTTCTATATACTCATATCGTTCAGTAGTATATTTCAACAGGTCGTGAGAATAAATTTCCCATATACAAATTATTTTCAATAATTTAATTGTACATTCTTCGGAAATACCAACCGAATTAATAAAATTAACCAGAAACGTAGAACACTATTGATCTCACACATACAAAATCTAAGTACCATTATAAGCTGATTTACTTTATTCAACCATCAGTCAACTTAACATAAACATTGTTATTCTTTACATCAAGACAGTTCTCCATAACCAAAGGTATGATACAGTATAATTAAGTTCCTTTTTAATGGATCCACAATTCCATAAGCAAAGGTATTCACATGTTCTTCATTTGACGGAAATACCATATTCTCACCATCCTGGATGGAAATGCGAAAAATAAGGGAGAATACACGGAGATAAAAATTAGCTAAGAAAATATCACCTTACTTAACGTACTACTATTATACATGACATATCTTTACATGTTAGATAAAGCGTCATTGTTCAGTTCTTAGATAAGCTTCATGTCATAGTTACCTTACCTTCCGAACCCACTTCTTGCAGGCAACCACATGTTTATGTAATACCCTAAATCAAACAGCAAATAAACTAGTGAAATGATGTGTGATAAATTTTACCCTGAGACAGGACGAGAACATTTGCAAGTTAATAAGAAGATATTAAAAATATTGTATTATCAAACAAATCATTCTGAGAACAGAGAGATAATGTGCAATAAAGAACATTGCATGGAAGTGTATCCCTTCAATTTGTTATACTTCACAGTAGAATGCAAACAGCAAATGAACAAAATAAACTGATATCAAAGTAGACAAAGGTGTATGTGTGTGTGTGTGTGTGTGTGTGTGTGTGTGTGTGTGTGTGGAGAAAATGAGTTTGGAAATGAGGATAAACGCTAATAATCAACGTCTACAAGACACCAAAAAGTGAATAGATCTGAGATACTGTGACTAGCATTCATCCATATCAACAAGGACCTCCAACCATTGATTATTTTTGTCTCGAGGACCCAAGCAGTCTGCATCTACCTATCTGGTTTGAGCTAACAGAAAAAAACTTTATTGATTGGCACGGCGTCTAGATTGAGTCACACTGTCTTCAAAGCAGTTATAAGATTTCAGATAGATACATTTCATAACCAGGTTTACGAATCAACCTACAGTTTCTGTCAGGATTTCCACTTGCCGCCAAATCATTCTCATGTCAGTTATACACTTCATATGTGCAAAAATTAATATTATGTGTCTTTTGAGTTCCTAGCGGAATATAGGGCTTCAGTATCACGTCTCCATTTCACTCTTTTGAACCTGGCCCCAGGACTGCCCAGAAGCTTGCATATCTTCCTCACACCATCTCCTACATGTCACCCTCGAACACCCAACTCGTCGTTTCCCATTCGGATTCCACTCGATAGCCTGGCCTGACGCGTGATGTCCCCGAATGGTCTTCTTCGTGTATGCCAGATCCATTTTCACTTTCTTCTGCATATTTGTTGGGCGACAGGTTCTTGGTTGATTCGTTCCCAGTGTGAGTTCCTTGTTGCTTATTCTTTATGGTCATCTGATCTTTTTCGAAGTGGTCAGCCCATTGTTTCCTTTGTTCCTCCTCTTTGGTAACAGTTTTTCCTTCACTATCTTTCATTGGTTTCGTCTGAGTTGGTCTCTTCCCAGATAGTAACCTGGTTGTTTGATATAACGTTGTCAGGTCTTTCCTGCCAGCAAACTGTTCTACTTCGCTTGCCAGCGTGTCGCCGAAGTGTCTTTTGTATTTGCGCGCACTCTTCTTCACTTCTCTGTCCAGTGTAGTGTTTTACAGGTTGGGTTCAGTTCCTCTTTTCGTTGTTCATGCTTGTACTGAACTGGTTTACCTTGTGCTTCATCATCTTCCTCTCATCTATCGGTTTCCATGTGTCCGTCGAGATTCATTTCTTGTTGTTATCATAAACACATCCGAAATTTCTAAAAGAGACTTGGTTTTTAAAATACACAAGAATTCTGAACCGATCCCGCCTAACTTTTTGAAGTAGTTCAATTTACACTCCTCGATAAACTCCTAGATAAACTCTCAAGAGAAGAGAATAGTCTAAAGTGTATTCTGATGAAATATAAGTGCCTCTACCACGTAGTTTTGACTTCATACATTAGCAAGCTTTTGGGACTAACTTTTGCAACCTAAATTAGGACTTCATTCCTGTACATAATGATTTAAATGTGTTCTCTTGAGTCGGTTTCAAAATTTTGTCATGACTTGTAACTAAGAGTATGTAAAGCGTATTCATATTCTTACTAGTTGTTAAATCCAAACTGCACTGCACTGCACTGCACTGTACTGTACTGTACTGTACTCAACATAAAGCATGAACAAGATCCGGATTTTCAACACTAACTCAGTCAATTAAGTCAGTGCTTCTATGTGATGGCTGAGAGATTTGCAGCGTTACGAAAAGCATTTCCAACAAACTGCAGACATTCATCGACAGCTGTCTATGCTGGATACTGAAGATCAGATGATCATAAAGAATAAGCAACAAGGAACTCACACTGGGAACGAATCAACCAAGAACCTGTCGCCCAACAAATATGCAGAAGAAAGTGAAAATGGATCTGGCATACACGAAGAAGACCATTCGGGGACATCACGCGTCAGGCCAGGCTATCGAGTGGAATCCGAATGGGAAACGACGAGTTGGGTGTCCGAGGGTGACATGTAGGAGATGGTGTGAGGAAGATATGCAAGCTTCTGGGCAGTCCTGGGGCCAGGTTCAAAAGAGTGAAATGGAGACGTGATACTGAAGCCCTATGTTCCACCATGAACCCACAAAACAAACAATAATAATGATAAAATCTGATGACAACCTTCTTTCAGATGTTTTATTCGTGGAAATCATTTCTAAATGTTCCATGAAATAGACAAGAATAACCATTATCCAACCACTTACCTAGTATTTTTTAATCTTTGTTTAAAAGCGGAAAATTATTTGGAGAAACGTGTAACTGAAACGTACGTATTAGGAGAGAAGCAGATGATGAATTTTGAATGTGTTACCAGGTTTTATTTCAAAGTTATAAACAGATTACAGGTCTGCACACTCAGCTACCTTGTACATATTCGTTCATTAGGCAATGGGGTACACCCGTTGTATGAGGGTCAACGATACCAGACATTTGCGTGAACCTAGGTAGGTGGAGCGTTGTACAAACCCATGACACTGATTGAAAGTCAACTTTGTAAGCCAATGAGTTACAGCTCTACAACTCCAAAGTAGAGTCATTGAGAGCTAATAACGAGTCTTAAAACTCAGAGGTAAAAATTGACAAATCACTTTGAAGTGATGTTCGTTTTACTTAACAACTTTAGCCAAATATTTTGTAATTGTGAGCAAATATTTATTAGTCTTCTTTTGCATTGTGGGTTACTTTTTACTTTGACCAGTGGAGTATTTCAGAAATGCATAGAGAAACAAAAACCAGCAAATAACTTTCAACGAAATGTTTGCTTTGTCAAGGTAAAATACTAAAGTTCAGAGGACACCAGACAACCACTCTTTGAAATCAATTTCTACTTACTCTGTTGCGTAAGTCAAGCCAGCATTGTTATATTTTAGGTTTCCTCTTAAACTAATATTTTGAAACATCTGTTAAGAAGGAAATCGACATGTTTTTGAGATAAATCGCCCGGCTATCTGCGATTAATTCTCTCTCACACACAATGACTACGGTCATCTTGTGCAGAAGCTTCTTATAGCATAAATCTCTCCTTGACAACTAGGCCAAAATAAAATCAAATTTTCTATAAGTGAAAGACTCTTGGTATTTCATAAACTTGAGTCTGGTAGTGAACGTAAAAGTAAATCTAATTTGTCCAGCTTACACAAATTTTTCTTAGGTAATGTCATATGAATAAGCAAATGCCTTCAGTTCTGCTCCCCAAAAGAAATGAAAAAATACTGTTGATGTGTTAACTCAGCTAAATCAACTGCGAAAAGCCTCAAATTGAGCGTCTTACGATTTTCTTACTGCAAACAGATAACCTTCCTAAATACACTTTAAAGTTTCACTAAGCTCAGTTTAAGCCGCTGTGATACTGAATAAAGTCATTTTCGTCTTCACACTAAATAATTTTCTGTCCTTCAATTGGTAAGCAAGAAGTTAGACAACGCACCCAAAATTACTACAGTATTATACTGTCCACTCGACACATTTCATTCGGCTAGAATGTACATGGCGTAGCAGCATTTTGGTCCGTTTCGCGAAATGTTATGTGTTACAAATAAAAATAACAGAATGATGTGAAGCACATTAACCACTTACGTGTGCTTGAACTTCATAGACATAAGAGATGATTTCAATAAGCTTTGAAACAGGATTTTTCTGCACACTATGAGAGTAAATTTATGGACAATCCAGCTACATACCTTATCACATCACGATAAATTTTTCTTGCTGTATCGATATATGGCTTTATGACATCTTCTTGCTGACAGACCTCGCCTCCAATGCAAAGGTGTTTGAACAAACGAAACAAAAATTCTTCTCTTTCTTTTTCTGAAAAAATAGAATAATCATCGGAATCTTCAAGCAACAAGCACTAAAAATGGTCATAGTATCTATTCAATTTACTTCTCTTAGCTTATCAGATATAAGGATTGTTTCATACACTTCATCCATACGTTTTCTGATTCTTCCGCATTCATAAGTCAGGTTTGATAGCTTGTGGAAAATATTCATGTTCGTAAGAGTACATCTAACACTTTTGATGGTGACGTTACTAAAAATATAGATCATTCGACTTAAGACAATAAAATAGTAAATACAGTTTGGTCGAAGGAACAGATAGGACTTTTTGTATTAAGGGTGTGTTAAAGAATCTCTAGCGTACTGGCAGTAAAACCAATGACAGGCGCTTACCGAGAAGAAATCGTCGGCCTTATAAGGTACAAACATGTGGTCGAAGGTGAATGTCACTACTTTAAGTCGACCTTTCATGGACCTAACAGAGAATTACACACCATTTTAAACTTATGAAACCATTTGAGCAGATAGTCCTTTGTTTGTTTTTCAGATAGTGATGCATATTCTCTTTCAGGAATAAGAATAAATTCCTGGCGTGTTTCCTCCATTTTGCTGAAAGTATATGTTAGCAACGTCAGTTTAAAATTTTGGTATTGTCAAAACGAGAGCACTGATGAGAAAAAACAAAAGTCCCTGTTTAATAGGCATCGGAATGAAGGGTAATTATGCCCAACTGACTTCTGTTTCTAGAAGCAGTGGAAGACAAGCTTCTTCATTCATTAACCTGTGCATAAGTCATTATCAAATACCTTCTTAGTTTTCTATATTCCAAAGTTTACTGACCAAGCGCAAATAGGTGCTGCTCACATGGAGTAAGCATGAATTCTCAGGAAACCTTCCTCCAATGAACAGTACTTCTTTCATGATCTAGTATAAACCAGATGAGTTCTATGCGCTCACCTGTAGGCCTTGGAAAACGGCCGGAATCCGTGGACAGATCACGAGGCGGTAGGTTTGCCCACTCGCTTACTGTAGATCTGGCATACCCGATGGGTGGTTATTTGTTGATTCAATTAGCAGGGGGGGTATATGACTTGACCTAAGGCCTTTAAGTAGCTGGGTATCACAATGTCAGAGAGTTCTTCGTAATTATCTCATTGGAACGAGCGCGCGCTTCGAATAGTGACTTGAACCACTCGTCTTTCAGCTTTTGGATTTTTCCAAATTGAAAAAATCCCAATTGGAATGATAAATCTATGAAAACCGAACCTTTACAACACTCCTATTCCTTCACACACTTCAGTGCTGCATATTCGTCAACTCACTTCTCAGCAGTTGAAGACCAGCATTATTAATTCTTTGAACCGACCAATCTACCTCCTGTCACTGGTTCTTGGGTGTTTCAACCGCCAAACTCCCTTAGCTCTTGGTCACCGTCGGGGGTCATTCACCAAGAAACATCTTTCCTGGTTCCACATAAGCGTCTGGAGCTTACGGTTAAACTCGTTGGTCAAGAGCGGAGGAGCAAGTGACAAGTGTTTGAAGGCAGGCCAACATAAATTGTCTTCCTTTATGTATCCTAACCCTTTGGTACATTCAGTCTTCAACCTCTTTATCAATGTTAAATACTCATTTTCCCCAAAAGTTTATATAATAGCGTCTGGCATATCTGCCTAAATAGCTAGATCGGAAGCTTTGACATAGATAAGACGGTCGTGCATAGAAGGGGACAATAACACCCAAAAAAAGACTGCAGTCTGTGCCCACAGACAAATCGAGGTAGAGCAGAGCACCGAACTCCGAAAGAGGATGCCAACTTATGTTTCTAGAATTCCAGTCGTCATCAAACAGGTGACATAGAGTAGCACTAGCACGTCACAAGCTAGCCCTACCTCGGGTGAGGATCAGACTATGCCTGAAAAGAGGAGACCTTGCATGCAACACAGCGGTCTCCACGGGGAAACCCCATTAGGGTGGCATATTAGAGAGCCGATACCATACTTAGGTCCAATTGTTTCTCCCTGAGAGTGTTTTTTTACGGAATGCCCTACCGCGACATATTGTCATAACCCCCCTCAGTCGATTCATTCAAGAGATGGTTGGACAGTTATGTGACCTCGCAATGTTTACCATGGATGTACTCAGGGAGACACCAACTTAACTAACCCACCCTCATCCCTCTTCCACTTATCATTCACCATCTCTCTACTCAATACACCAACATCACCTACTAATTCTTCTCTAGAAGATAGACCTACGCTATCTACTCTTACCTTTCGGGCAGCTCCCGCATACTTTTCTCTCTCTTTTATTTCTCATTTTCACCCCCCTTTTGATCTCTCGTTTTTCCGTTCCTCTTCTCCTTTTTTCCATTCTTTTCATTCTCTACCCACACCTTACCATTCTTATTCAGGCACCTACGCACACAGGAGTCACGACAGTCTGCGAACAGTCCCAGAAACCCGTAGCTCTTCTACTACTCTACAAGTCGCAGCTTACCAACCCACAAAACATCCAGCTCACCGAAGCTGGGAGCAAGAAGGCAGAAAGGATTTCCTTGCCCACTGCAGGAGTGAACCGAACAACTCGAACCAAGCCCCAACAACCAGATGCGAGTGATCAAACATCATCAGTTTTTTGCGTTCACACTATCAACATTCAATATCGGATATTGAAAGAGAACGAAAGAATAACCAACAAAATTATCGGACAGGAGTTGACTAAAAAGGAAAAGATGAGGGGTGAAACAGAACAGAAGACCAATTAATCCAAGTCAAGGGAGCACAGCGAAGAAAAGAGTGATGTGAAGGACTTATAAAGGTAAGACTGAATTGTTCAGAGTAAAAGAAAAGCAAGGAAACAGGGGACTGCGGAGCTGTTCAAATTTTGCTTGAGGTTTTCGAAGAATGAAACGTTAGCTTGTAGTGTCACACGCTTCTCCAGAATCAGTAGCCTACGGTTCGACGTGATCCAACGTTGGTGCAGACCTCCATAGTTTTACCGGACTCGTTAAGCTGAGGGCACGAAGTCAAGCATCAGTTCCATTTGGTACGCTGTCGTGTTACGTTGCGCTGCTCGTAATCGATCCTCTGGCCAGCTTGCTGGAACACATAGGTATTTTGTCATGACCTAGCTAATATACAACTTCATCCAACCACACTATTGTGTTCTTCCCCGGCCTCGCATTCGTGGGCATATAACTGATGCAAATAATTAGTGATTGGTCTCTACGTCTGCCAAGTTCGCATGATGACGATAATGCGCTCAAGTTGCCGCAAACTCAGACGGCAGGCAAATGTGATCATGCAATTGTTTCCGTTTTCTAATGTGCGGTAATCAACTCTCTCTCTCTCTCTCAGAAATATTCCTCAAGGTCTTCAGCCATTTACTTATGAAATGCATTATTGCGTGAACCCTGAGAAAACATTTCAAATAATTCGAAGTGGTGTTTAATTTGTCAATATCAAACCAAAATTTATTTCCGTATTCTGACTAGAAAGGTATGTACTACAGACAGTGTAGGATAGTTCTGTGAACTAAATGTTTCCTGAGAGTGGTCGGTGGTTCTATCGTGATGCTGCCTCCACTTTGGTAAGAGGGTGTTAGAAACGTTTAGTCACAAGAATAGCATGCTGCTACTCGTCTTGTAGCCTCTCAACGCTGACTATGCAGTGTTTTCCATCCAGCACTCGAAAAATGAAACCTAAACTCAATACTTTTCAAAACGGGTGTGTTTGACAAGCCCTAAGCTGGTTTCCCGTAGTCCTCAAAGACACGAATCTTTAACTTGATCTCTTAGGGGTGCCGTACGGAAATAACTTGTGTGGTGAGGGAAGCCAACAGACGCGTGTGTTGTCCAAGTGAATGTATCTGTAAGAACTAGGAAGCATTGCGAAACTGCCTACACGACCAGAGCGCTTCCAATGAAACATGCTCTGCTCTTACCAAAATCCGTCGATTTTGCTGTATGTAAAGTCATCATACTAGGCAACTTCGAAACTCTAGAGGCTAGGCGGAGCCAATCAAAAGTCGACTGGTAGTTGTCTAAGAAACCCTTTACCCACCTGCCGAAGACCCTAGTCATACCCCGCAGTTTCTCTTGAAAATCACTTTACTACTAACTAACCGTAGCCATAGGGATGGGCTTTGTCCTGCATAAGGTCCACCGACGTCAGACCAAAGATAGAGGAAGACATTTCATGGTGAGTCCTTTAGGGGAGGGGATAATTAATCATTTATTCAGGTGGGATAACAATCCTAAGGAAACTTGACAAGAAGGGGCAAAGGGTAGATCATTTTTCACAAAGTCGGAATGGGAATAATGCAACGGTATATACGTGCTTATAGTGGCCTAAATGTTTTCTACGCATTTCTAGAAGGACGTCCAGCCGATCTAGAACTCGCATATAAGATCACTTGGTCTTTCGTTAGTGTCTGCTACACGATGACTCGTTGGGAAAGCTTTCAGTAAGTTCTTGGCTTTTAAGATGGAGCTAAGAAGTACCAATCAACTTCAAAACACTCCCTTTTTAAAATCATAACAACTATTACGACGGTTTCTTTGGATTCACTCGAATTTTGTCGACCTGACTTTGCTTTGCATACTACCGAGAGGCGCTACAACTTAGAGCGAAGCACCTACTTTTGAGGTCCTGCGCTGATTTCATCCCTCTGTCCTTAAAGGATTTGTCTGAAAAATTCATGCCTATGGAGATTCTAATGCTGTCTAAGAAACAAGTCCAGTCTTTCAACTACCTCGAAACCTTGAATATTTATGAAATCCTTTCCTTGAACCACGTGGTTGTCCGCCAAGATACCAGTCTTCGTGCAACCACTTACGCTTCCAATGCAAGTGTGAATTGTACCTGCACGAAAAATTGCACTTCTGTGTGATGTTACACTTTGATTTCGTTGGTCCATCCGAATAATGAACTCTGAGTCAAGAAACTTCTTTTGAATTGCGTGCTCAGCTATCTACCGTGTAAACAGCAGCATATCCAGCATAGCACCCGGAAACGAATACTTTTATTACTGCTGTGCATATAGGAATGCCGTATGAAACTGCAACTAAGGCTGTTTGTTAAGTTTTATGCTACGGTAATTTTGGGTTCCAAGGAATAACGATGTAATGAATGGCTCATTCCTCCAGCCAGCTAAAAATTTTAAAGAATTCGAAGCTTTATTTTTGACCTTAACATGTTAGCAGCGGGTAGGTCTTTAAAAGACTCTACCTTCATGTTTTTGTGTCGCTGCCATCTTTTATATTCTCCCTCTCGGTACATTTTTCTGAAAATACATATACTGCTTGCAAGCTACTGTTGTTTCCATACTACCAGTCATGCGTTGCTCCTCCTGGCTGCTCGTTATTTATGTGCCCCAATCACTTCTCCATAACGCTGCATCGTAGTTTAGTTATTTACCCGAAGCGATTTAAACTCTCAAATGGTGAAGACTGAAATGTTATCATCAATATTTTTGTTTATGCTATTACACAGAGATTACTATACGATTTGTAAGACTCATCCCGCGTAGCTTGTAAGTCTTACAAATCGTAAAGTAATCTCTGTGGAGCAGAATAAATAAAAATATTGAGGACAGCTGCTGCTTTGATGTTGTGGTCTGGCTTGCATATCACGATGGCCCAAAGAGCTATGCTGGT